CAGTTAGAATGTGTCCTACAGATTCTTCATGGCGCCGGTGAGACATTATTCTATGGTTGGCCTCTGGTGCTTGGAATCATCGGAGCAGTTTCAGATCATCATGGGTAAATTTTTTTTCACACATGAAGCCAATAAATAATACATGAACTTTGATAATTATGATAATAATTATTCGTCATTCTTAGAGAAAACTTGGTTCGCGTAGCGTTTCAATGCTTGCAGCTCGTAATAACGGATTTTCTACCTGTGATGCCATGGAGGTGCCTTCCATTGTGTGTTGACACTGCAGCCAAGTTTGGCTCTCAAACTCAAGAGCTGAACATCTCGCTTACTGCCGTTGGTCAAATGGTACGTCTTAGTGAAATTTATGAAGTATTAATGTTATATTAAATTAAATTTATCATTTTAGTGGAACATAAGTGATTACTTTTATCAAAACCAAGAAAAAATTTGCGCCTCCCTGCGGGGTGACTCGGCCTCGGTATTCCCCGATTTTCCAGGCACAACGAATATGCCAGCCTTTGATAAGCTCTGGATGTGCTTGTACGCGCGACTTGGGGACCTCTGTATCGATCCGCGACCTGCAGTACGAAAATCTGCTAGTCAAACGTTATTCTCGACTATTTCGGCGCATGGAAGTCTATTGAATCAGCCAACGTGGCAAGCAGTACTCTGGCAAGTTTTGTTTCCACTGTTGGACAAAGTGAGGAGTTTGTCAAGTTCGGCCAGTAATGAAAAGGTCGATACATCTGGCAATATTCTTATACACCACTCTAGGAATACAGCACAGAAGCAATGGGCAGAAACACAGGTACTGGATCGAAAGTTTTAATTCCTAATGAGTGGAAGTCAAGGGATAACTGTAATTTGCAGGTACTAACATTGAGCGGCGTTGCAAGGGTTTTCAATACGAAACGCCAGCTACTGCAATCGCTCGGTGACTTTCCTCGCGCATGGTCGCTTCTACTGGAATTCATCGAAAATTCTGCTTTGAGCAAAAATAACGAAGTGTCCCTGGCTGCTTTAAAATCCTTCCAAGAGATCCTGTACCTTCCAAAAAGCACTGAAATTACTGATCCTACGCAATTTGAGGATTCCGAAGCTTTGTGGATCGTCGCTTGGCGTATTTGGCTGAGCATTGGCTTAGAAAGCACGGCACCTCCACAGGAAACTGAAATTGAACCTTACATTCCGTCACAAGCATTCCTGACTGCACTCGTCCAAATATTTCCCGCCGTCTATCAACATGTAAAAAATAAGTAAGTCATCTCACGATATGATTTTTTTTTTTTTTTTAATCGTTTAATTGTTTTTATAATTTTCTTTTTAATACCAACACACTTTTAATAGATTTTCCGCAACCGACTTGCAAAATCTGTGCCTCGTTTTGAAAAATGCCGTTGCCATACCAGTACACAGTGAATCTACGCCGTTCGTATTGCCCACTGTTCCAGATGTTGTATTAACTCAATTGCAAGATGGTGTACTTCACTCTATGGAATTGCTTCAAAAAGTATGTAAACAATCTTCTTTGACTATCATCATCGTCAATATTTATTGTCAAATGTTACTATCATTTATTTTAGGAATCATTGTCAACGCCTGAAAATCTAAAAAGTATGATTAGCCCAATTTTTATACAGCTCCTGTATTTTTCAAAACTCGCTTGTGAGGCGCCGACGTACGGCAAAATTTCTACAAAGCATATCTCCCAAGTCAGAGGCATATCTGTGAGTCGCTCAATTACTAAATTTTTATTTTAATGTATTTCGCGATTTCCTTGCATAAAACGTGTTTTTTTTTTTTTTTGTTTTTTTTAATTATATGGTGGAATGCAATATTTTCCGTAGAATTATTTATTTATGTTTTTATGTAATCGCACCATTTTTTGTATTGAAATCTTTTTCCTGGAGAAAGTCGGAAAATTGTGGCTTCAAGTCTTTAGCCATAATTTTGCCACACTTTTGCCACAGTTCCAGCCACGATTTGCCAACAAAATTTTTGCCACAATTTGGCCAACATTTTATTTCCACGCGGGAAGGTACTGAGGGCCTCTAGGATCTCATTAACATAGTTCTTTACCATCATTAATTTTTTTAGCTGTAATGGTCTTCTTAAATTTATTATTCACGTAGTATGTAAACAAGCTCTTTCAGATACATTGTTTGAAATTCTTGGGCAGCTCTTATTATTGTTGGTGCTGACTTGCTAAACCTTCTTAATCTTTGCTACAGAGGCGTTTTTAATCATTAAAAAATTTTTAATAAAACCACTTTATGTATTAGATCCAAGCAATTATATAATACTCTTACTTTCTTCGCACTATTTCTTGTTAGCTACCTTGGTTGTCTTGTTGTTGTTTTTCAATATACTACCTGTTATTTTCCGTTTATTATTCTGTCTATCACTACTATTATTATTTTTAATACTATTGTTACCGCCACCACCATAACGTTTAAAGTCCCAATCGATACTCTTGTTTGAATTACTTCTGCACCTTCATATGTGGTCTCTTAAATTTTTGACAAATCGTTGGCAGGTGTAACACCACCTGAGATTTTGCCCCTAGGCAAATCCTCGAGGTGTTACTCTTTCCATAACATTCGTAGAAGAGGGTGCTGGTTGTAGCTGTGATTGCAGTTGTTACGGTGGCAATGGACTGGGAACACGCCCCACCTTGGCTTGGCCCTGTGCCTATCCCACCTCGGCTTGCTTCTGCACCCACTAATGGTCGTGGGAATGATCCTTCAGCCTTCTATTTAAAAATGTATTAAAGTAAACAAGTTTAAAATCTCCAATCAATCTATCAAAAAATTCATAAAATTTAGTAGTACTTAATGAGTTTTTTATTCTACTGGCCTAGGCACGTAGTATACTATTCATGTTTTTGCACCATTATTAGAGGGTTAGTAATGTGTTATACTCTGTTTTGGTCATCTAAGGACAATTTACCTCGTATTACGTTTAAGGCCTGCTCCTGCTCTTTATCTTTCTTCATCTTTTCTTGAGTAATATTAATCGTAGCTTTTAACTTTGGACCAATGTTAAGGAATAATTTTTTTTTAATTTTTACTACTATTTTTTTAAAAATATTTCTACATTAGTTTCATCAGTAAGGGAATAAATGAACCAACTTAAACTATCTTTATCAAAGACTTCTATCTTTAAACTATTATAACATGTACCACGACATCAGCGAGTTATCAATGGATTCAGAGTTTAAGTTAATAAATTGTTTACATAATTTAGTGGTAGAGGTAGCGAATTTGTTCTCATCGTATATACGACTCATGGCCAACTCTCATTGAAAAGCCTTTATTTTTCTTTATTGAGCAGCTAGATGCTTTTCAAACTCAGTTCTAAATGCTTCTTGGGTCCTCTTGATGTCCTTTCTCTCTTTTTTCATGGTCTTTTGTGAAATATAATTTAGTAACATAACATGTAAACCATCTAGCTATTTCCTTAAGCTAACTTTTCTATCTTGTATATCTTTAAATTTACTATTTACAATTATGGTATCAATTGAATCTATGTTTGTATTTTTCAAGTCTTTTAACTATTTATTTTCAGTTAAGGTATCAATAAAATCTATCTTTCTACTTTTCGAATCCTTAAGCTTATTGTCGTTAGGAAAGGTATTAAGCAAATCTATCCTTCTATCTATGAAGCCCTTACTTGAAATACGCTGTTACTTAAGGAGAAGTTAAGTTTTTCTAGCACTTTTTTATATCAAATCAAACAGGTCTAGCATATCCTGGCTTTGATGTGCAGTGCCTCTTAAAATTACTCAAACCAAGTGAAAAGGAAGAAAAGAAAAAAGAAAAAAATTAGATGATCGATCAGATAAAGCTGCGTTCCAGGTAAAGACATAAGTAGAGCACACATACGAACTCAATGACTACGCGCCACCTATGGGATGTGTTACAGTAGACAGCCTAAGTATGCGAAAGCAACATGTCTAAGGCTTCTCACCACAAGCTTAATTTCTGCACGTTGGAACACAAATTTGATAAATTTTTAATTTAAATTCTCCATGGATGTAACAGCGTTATTGTTCCTGGAAAACATAAACAGGTTATTTTTACGGGTAACTTGCACCTTATCAAGTTCAACAAGGTCATTTTCAATCTGTTTGTAGGCATCATTTAGCATATTCGGGTCATTTTAAGCTAGAAACAATAGGAAAAAATAAACAAAGGTATTCTACCTTGACATGTCATGTGCGGGTGAGGGCAGTATATTTTTTGTGGGAGTAACATGTAAAGCAAGTGTTAGTGTATCTGAAGAAAATTGGCGCCCACAATATATGTGACAGGTATAGAAAGAGAGAAAATGGCCAAATACCAGTATTTGCTATTTTACGCACACCACCAGCCGCAACGTAAGAGGACGTGCGCGCCCAGCTCGGCCGAACGCGAACCATAACTATAACACGTGCCTTCCCTTCTGACCTCAAGGCTTCACTTTCAACGATAACTAACTGCATTAGCAACAGCGTGTTTCTCTCTTGTCACGATGTAGACGAACCCCATGCGAAAACAAGCAGGTGCCATACCAGCTCTAGAATTCAACGCATTCATGAACAAAGAAAGGCTAATAAATGAAAAGAAACCTTCCCATACAATTTTAAGTAAACTTTCTTCATTAAATGAACTTAAATCAAATTATCAATTTTTTAAAATATAAATTAATTATAATAAACGAGCGTAAGAGAAAAAAAACAGCATCAGTTAGTGTAGATACGGAAAGTTTAAATCAATGTACTACTTACTTCGACCGCTGCAACCTCACGACCTTCAGGCTGCTCTAAATACATCCTGAGGCGAACCCTTAACATATTTAAGGGGGCCTGGATGATTATGCGTCTTCTCTTTCTCTGCCACACGTCGTTCACCACCCAACAACATATTTTTTGTGTTTTTTGCCATTACGACTGCATGCAATAAGGAGACACGAAAAAAGCAGAAAGTAAAAAAAAAATAATGAAGTAAGTGAGAAAACGTGAAAGGGAGGTATTATCACAGCAAAAAATGGTGGTTAGAGAGGTCTTGGGCATACACACTCACTACGCTATTTGAAGCCCCATAAACTATTAGCAGTGCAAGTATGGGTATATGGATATGCAAATAAAAGTTCGACATAGTCATGTCTGATTTTAGTGTAAAGCACGTTTATTTATACAATCTTAACTACATGCTATCTTAACTATCTTTATTATTTAATAGAATCAAAGCAAACCGATAAAAAGTAAACACAAATAAATAGGCACAAAGAATGAATGGGAGGGTATACATAGACTAACTGACCATGGGGAAATGAATCAAACTACGCAACTTTGATGCTGCAGAGCATTGCCACAGCATCATAACTCTTTGCTCCCGTGCATACACTAAAATTCCGCTACGAGCGCCAAATACATGTTTTACAACTTTTTTTTCTTCATAATTTCAATAAGTATGTAGGTAGAAATAGAATCTTACTACACACAAAGATTCTTTCCCTTTAAAAACATGGTGTACGTTTGGCCTTTACTCGCGTGGTGGTGTGACATCACTCGCTTAGCCGAGTGAACTTCGAGCGTTCATCGAAAATTCGGGGGAAGAAACTACGTTCACTGGGATTTTCTAGTGAACGCACTCGTAGAGCCGAGTGAACTTCGAGCGTTCATCTAGAATTAGGAGGAAAGAATTGCGTTCACTAAGATTTCCAGTGAACACACTCGTAGAGCCGAGTGATACCTAATTAGATATTGGTATGTGTGTATTTATATGGGTATGTAAGAATGTTGAACTTGCATGGTATTAATATTTTGAGGTTAACAGCTACTTCATAATATATTAGTCATGAAAAATAGTATTGAGTATGTAATAATAATTACTATTATACAAATGGCAAGTACTTATACAATATTAATGAGTTAAATGAGAATTAATGAAGTAATTATCTTACTACATTGCAATAATAAGTAGTTCATTACAGATTGGATTAGTTTGATACAAATACATTAATGATTTCAGAACAATAAGCTCTACTTAATACTACTTATAAATTAACCTAATGTCTAAAAGAAACAGAAGTTAACTAAATATGTCAGAAGAAAACAAGTAGTATAACAGCTAATTTTTCTCAAATCTTACAACAAGCATTCTCTTAAAATACAAATTTTGGTATGTTATAAAAAAAATTATATTTGAAACTATTTTAAATATTTTATTTTTTAAGTTACATTATTTTGGTTATAATGCTATAAAATAATTTAATGGTATCTTATAACCGATGTCTAGTGGCAATATACAAGTGATCATTTATTTTTACAATCAAACAAAGGCATCTTTGATGCAATTTTGTATAAGAAATAACCTTTTTATTGATGTCTTTAAAAACGCTGTAAGCGAAAAAATGAGAGTCAAAGCCAATTATTTTAAATGGAATATATACAAAAAATACTTTATCATTAATTTTACAGATTTCTTGAATTTCTCCAAACCCAGGATTATTTTCTCCGACGTTCGCTACTATTATAGTTCCTGATTTATATGTGACATCATTCACAACAACGTTGATTAGGCAGCATTTATTTTGAAAGAAAGGAAAAAAAGAGTCGACAACATCGTTAGATATGACGCTACCGTATTCGATGTACGTAGATTTATAAGATATAATTGAAAAATTCATCATTTTTAAAAGATATCTCGTGGCAATTGTCATTAGAATATTTATTCGACAATTTTGAGCTTCTACGATAATCTTTGATTCTTGGTGTTTTGATTCAAATCTTAATCCAGAAAGTTTGTGTGGAGGATCATTTTGTAAGATTAAACGAATATAATGGAGTAGCAAATGGAACTTTAGTGTCAAATCACCATACAAATGTAAATACAGCGTGTGGTGCTCTCTAATATTAATTTCCAGTTGTAAGATATCAGATTTACTTAGTGAGGGTGAAGTTAAAATGTTGATAATATTACATAAGAAAGTGTGCAATTTGAAAGATATATCAGCATTTGGCACCTTATTTCCTACAATTACTCCAAAGTACCTAGCAAAAAATGATGATT